ATATATATATATATATATTCACACACACACATATAAATATATATATATATCTATAGTGTGTGTGTGTGTGTCTGTCCTCTAAAATGTAAACTCCTTGAGAACTGGGATTTCTGCCCATCTCGTTCACTGATGTGTCTAGCACTGAGGACGCTAGATAATCATTGTTGAACGAGTCACACACAAATCACTGATATCACCTAATAGTCTTCATTCTCGTCAGTGATAAAAATACATTTACCATTAACACACTAGGACAATGTATATTCTTCATTTCTTCTCCTTCTCCCATACTTTCCATCTGGCCTGCCAGAAAATGCTTTTAGTTCTGCTTTCAGAATATATACAGAATCTGACCCCTTCTCACTGTTCACTCCATCCTCACCACCACCCTGACTTAAGCCCAGGATCTCTCCTCCTAAAATAACACAACTGGTTTTGATATTCTTTAGGCAAGAGAAAAAATTTTGCAAGTAGGAACAGATATAAAGCAAATTGTAATCAGCAAAATATATATGTACATATGTATACATTTATCAAGAAAACAGAAATATGTAACAGTCTAACATAGCAAATAAACCTTTAATAATTTGAAACTTATAAAGCACTACTCATGAGATAGAGCCTAGCATTATTATTGACTATTATTACTTAGAAATGCTTGCTAAACTCTTGGGAATATCAGAAAGACTGAAGATTTGAGATTTGGTAGGATGCCTATGAGGGTCAAAAGATCTTAGAGTCATCTCAACTCCTCTTTCTCTCACACTTATATATGGTGGGGCAGAAAATCCTTTCAGTTCTACCTTCAGAACATCCAAACTCTGACCCCATCTCACTCCTCCCCTCCCACCGCCCTGTTCCAAGCCACCAGCAGCATCTCTCACATAGGTTGCTGCAAATGGCCTCTCCTTCTGTCGTTGCACCCTTTCATTCTGTTACCAGCACAACCAGAGTAATCACCTTAAAACAAACAGTCCGCTCCTCAAAGCACAGCATTTATTTCTCATTTTAACTCAGAAGAAAATCAAAGTCCCAACGATGACCCAGAAGTCAGTACTTAATCCATCCTACCCTGCAGCCTTTCTGCTCTCCCTTTTCTCATGCTTCTCCAGGCACACCAGCCTCATCAGGGCCTTGGTCCTTTCTGTTCTCCTGGCCAGGGATGCCCTTCTGCTAAACATCCCTGAGGCTTTCTCTCTTCCTTTAGACTTTTGGGCAAATGGCACCTGTGATGTCTTGCCTGATTTCTCTGTCTCTTTTTCCTGTTTTTTGTTTTGTTTTGTTTTGTTTTTTTATCTTTAGCATTTATGCCTAACGTACTGTATGGCATCTTCATCTTATTTATTGTTTGTCTCCCCCAAGAATATAAACTCCACAAGGGAAACTTCATGCATGTAATAAACTGCTTTAGTCACACCTGGACTTTCAGTGTCTAGAACACCCAATAGATCCTCAATAAAAAGCTGTTGAATGAAAGAAAAAGGGCTCTGGTGCTCCACACATCGTGTATACAGACTGTACACATGTGTGTGCTCTGATGCTCAGCTTCTGCTTGTGCTGCTGTGGCCGCTGTGCAACAGCTGGAGGGGAGAGTGAGGTCTACGGATGTAAGAATGAGGAACAGAACCTCTAACATGGTTTCCTACAACAGGATCTGACAAAATAATGATTATATTTAAGAAAGATTAGTAGAAGTCAAGTTGTAATATCAGCTTACTCGGAAAGGAATCACTAGCTCTTGTAAACAACACCAAGTGAATTTACTCCTTGGCAAGTTCACATATGCACCGGCAGTCTGGTAAACTCCTCCCATCCATCATATACAGAGGAGTCCCTGTTCCTAGTCTCCTTCCACATGGTTTTGTTTCATCTGTACATTCCCAAGATTATACAGCTTAATTGGGCTGTCACTTGCTTTAGAGAATAAAGGAATGCCATGTGTTTTGCTTGCCTCATTTTCAGCTCCTATGGGATATTTTTAGAATCTGAGTTATTAGATACATCGTAAGGATTCAACATTGTAATTCATAACATAATGAGTGACTTGGATAAAGTAAATATTTGAATAACTTCATCTGAAACACTGAAGTACATTAGTTGTGTGAGGAGGGCATCTGAGCTGGTGAAGGAGATCAAGCACGTTAGATAGGGAGACACTGGTGATGAGGGCAGGTCAGATGCTCTGTGCCCTATGATGGTCCACAAGGTCAGGGTCAGAAAAGAAGAGATGATGACTTCAGATGATGGAAGAGTTCATAACCAGGAGGTGAATGTGTAGAGATCAGAGAGTCAAGACAAGGACACGATGGTAGAATAAACAACCAGGTTAGTCGCTGAGAAAGTGAAGAGAAAAAAGAGGAGGAGGAGGAGATGGAACACATCAGGTTGCTACGCGTTATGGTCACCTTAATTCAGTACCAGGGCTTGCTGTAGGCCAGGCTGGCTTAGGGCCTTGGACCAGATAGAAGGATCGCTTTTCTTTCTTTTCCAATTCTGATGTAGCTAGATGAAGGGGCATTTTTTCAAACTAAAGTGAAATAAATTAAACAAACAACACGAAGAACTCTTTTTATCCAGCAGGAAACACTAATTATCACAAAAATTAACAAAATATGTTCTAGGGGTTTGAACAAGTTTAAGAATGATAGATACATTCAAATACTACTAAAGGAAGTTAGGCTCCATGGGAATTTAGTTTAGTCAAGAAAGACAATGATGCTTTCCTGTGATCCATCCTTTGATATTTCTGTCAATAAGAGAACACGGGGCTGGATGGTCCATGGATCTAACCCAGTAGGATAGTTCTTATATTCTTATGTCTCTGCTTAATTAATCCCATCAACTTCATTATGAAACCAAATCAAAAACACATAACTTTGAATACAATGCCTCCCGACCAGAGCTCTAAGTGAAATGTGAAGCACAGGAATATATTTCAGTATCTATGTGTCAGTGCATGATGTCCCTTCCCACCGCTAGCTGACTAGCTAGCTTCTATGAACTCCCAGAATTCTGGCCACTGATTTAATCTGATTCTGAGTCTTTGTGAAAATTCAGGACCTCAGACTCTGACTCATATCTGAGGTGACAACACTTCTCATCCAGTGCAGAACGAACCAAACCTTCCCACAAGCACATTTATTACCATGACAATTTTGCTAAAAGTGCCTTTGGTCTTGGAAGATTTATTAATCCAGGTCTCACTATATCAGTGCCCCCTGTTACACCAGCATAGGTCTAAAAAATTTAAGGCCTGTCCCATAGGCAAGCTTCTCTAGATTTAGATCAAACCTTTCGGAGCAGAAGGGGTATTTTGAGTAACTAAAGAGCTTCCTTTTTGTTTCCCTTAAATTTGATGTAACCAAGCTATCTGGCTCCAAATATAACTAGATAGCTCAAACCCAGCCAGCAAGAGCCAAGTTTATGAAGCTTTCATCCATATCTGTTTGCATAAACAACTTGCTTCAAGAATGTCTTGGAATTATTTATATGATAAATCAAAGTTGTTTTGTTTATCTGGAAAAACAAAATAGTGCCACTTATACACATAAGAAAAGTCTGCAACTGCTGAGACAGTGTGAGTTAAAAGACACTACGTCATGTGCAATAATGCCAAAAACCATTTCGCCCAGAGGGTAAGCCACCTGGATTCTGTATGCCCATGGGCAAAGTTTCTCCAACTCTGTGTATGATGAGAGGGTTGAGATATATAATTTCTAAAGTCCCTTCTAGCTAAAACAGGCTGTAATTTTTGAACAAACACATGCCTGCCTTTTGATATTTTTCCAGTGGAAAACCAAGCATTTGGGCCCGCATGTGAAATCTTTAATTTTGTAATTAAAAAGCTCCCCTTGGGCCCGCCCCCAGAGGGGCGGGACGTTCCCTGTGGAGGCGGAGTCCACGCATGAGCATTGCGCTTCGTGCCCCCCCCCCCCGGCCCTGGGTGTCAGCGCAGTCGCAGGGTCTGGGGTTGGAGAGTGGTGGTGTCCCTACCTAGAGAGAGACGAGGACAAAGGGCGATATGATGGCGATGTGAATGACAGGGTTAAAGGCAGCCCCAAAGGGTGGTTTAGGTGAAGGCTGGAAGGAAGGAGAGCGGTTGAGCATCTCAGCTCTTGTCCAGGGATGAGAAGTGAACCAGCTTGTCCATGAGGTGGAGGAGATCCCTCTGGACCAAGACGCCCCATCTGTCTCGGTGCCCTAGGGAGGGCACAGTCCGGATCCAGACCCCTGGCTTGTCTCCAGCTGGCCGCAGTGGGCCAAAGGGTGGGTAATCAGCGGCCCCATCCCTTCCTAGCTGCCTTCCCGGGGTGCTCTGGAGCAAAAGGGAGCCTGGGCAGACTGCAGCTTAGCCACCTGCCAGCAAGGCCTGGGAAGCGCAAGCCGCCTGTGAGGTGCAGAGCCACGCAGAGCTGTCTTGATAAAAGATGGTCATGAGCAGCACATCCATGTTACCATACTACCCAGGGGGAAAGTAGCGTGCAGTGAACGTGTTCACTACCTCCACAGGGAAACTGCAGCTGCACAGAGGAGAGTGTTATAATTTAAGTACACACTGATCTTTAAGAAAAACTTTATCCAGAGCAGCAAAAGAGAGGTGCTCGATTGACACGCCGTGAACACATGGTGACCGGGAGCCTCCTATCCACCAGCCCCAGCCCCACAATCCCTGATGCTATGCTGCTGGCCTGACCACCTGTGTGCAGTGAGGGCGTGCCAGGGGTGATGAGGCAGCCAGGGAAGAGGCCCAGGCCTACAAAGAACTTGGTGCTAACCAGGCAGCTTCCCTCTAAGTTTGTAAAGACAGCCATCCACAGTTATGAGAAACAACAGCCCCACCTGAAGCTTGACACTGGCCACTCTTTTCCCTTCAACTATGTTCCCTTCAGTTGCAAGAAATCACTCTGCTCCCTGGGAAAACCTAGTTTAGCCTCCAAGACCACCAATGGAGGCTTACAACTGTACCCAGGCCATCCCAGCTGAGGACACAATTGACTTACCTGTTTGAGGCAGAGCCCAGCAGCCACGGAGCCCCAGGGAGAAGGGGCTCACCATCAGGTCAGCATCAGGAGCCTCGCCTGGTGTTTGGGGCCACCTCATCTGTTACGCTGAAAGCAAATGAATCTGACATGTCTCCTGCACTTCCTGTGTTCATGAAAGCACACACTCTCTCCCAATCACAACACCTGCAGGGCCTCCACAAAGAGGAGGTAGTGCTAATGACAGGCACCACAGTAAGAGCTATGGACAGGGAGGCAACTGTGGGTGCAGACTTGGCACATACATACAGCACCAGCAGGAGCAGCCTTCCCAGATCCAGCAGGAAGCAGAAGCAGTATGTCCATGGCAGGTGCTTCTGATGTGTCCTCATGGAGCTGGAGCAAGTGCTTAATTCAAGTGCATCATTCCAGCATGTCAGCAGGAGCTGCTGGTCCCTCCCCAGAGGGCAGCACATGTGTGGTGATTGAGGAAACTGCACTGAGTAACTTCTTCAAAGCTGCACAGCTAATAAGAAGTGGAACCAAGATTCAAATCTAGAGCCAAGGTTCTTAATAGTAACCAGGATGTGTGTGGGCATTTCTGGGGAGAAGAGACTAGAGACGGGGGCTACTTAGGACAATCAACTCCAAGTGTGAGGCTAACAGAGAGCTAGGTCACCGCTTTCGTACAAACACAGACAATTTTGTTTAGAGGAAAAAGAAAAGCAACTGCATGTCCCATAGGCTTACACCATTAGTGTCGAGTTGAATACAAATGGATCCAAGTAATAGGAAGTGATGACACAATTAAAGATGAAATAAATGCATATCCACGTTGTGTATTTTGATGCCACTCTCCAAGTAGTTTGCAACTTACTGTACAAAGTTTAAGTAGGGCTTTGTGTTGTATGTAAAGCACAATCCAAACCGTGCATGCTCTGAAGGGCATTGACCAGCAGCAAGCACTGTATGGGTGGTGGGTTTATTTTTCCTTTTCTTACGCAAGCACGTTTACACCACATAAATATGAAGGACAGTAGCCAAATGGCGTTGTGCTAATGGATGGGAACAGAGAGGTTCCGTCGAGCTGGGCAGTTCAGGACAGCACTGCCTCCTGACAGTATCTCGTCCTAAGAAATGCTCCCTTTGAGAACACACCTCCGGGAGATGTGCAGTTGGTACACTTACTTTTACTGTTTCCTTTGGGTTGATTGTAGCCTGTCTTTAGTTTCCATTTATAGTTAGGTTTTGATTGAAAGAACTGTATTATAAATCCTTCAAAGCTTAACAAAGCTGCCCTGGCTGAATAACTGGTCACCTTCCTAAAGGTCTCTTGTAAGAATTCTTTGTTACAAAGTATTTTAGACATACTGATTTATGATGGCATTTACAGAGTTTATGGTTAGGTCTGAAGGATTCACTTGTAAATTATGTAGATTTGAGTTACATTCATGCTAATTGTGTTAGTTCAGAAAAGTGTTTATATAGACATTAAAACACTGTGTTTTGGGAGACACTGCCTTCCATTAAATCTGCCTGTGGTTTGACCAGATGACTTCAGTCTCCCTCACTCCTTCGGAGCTTATTTTAATTAGTGTTTATGTAACCCCTTAAGTATATAATTATCTGTACGTATCTGCTCTACAGCCTTTAATTTGCTTTGACTCTTTTTTTGTTACATTGAAAGTTTTCTTCTTAGGATAGATACATGTCTTCCTCCTCCCCAAGCCTCAAAACTCCTGGCAAAATACTCTTTACATTGTGAAAACACACACACACACACACACACACACACACACACACACACCAGGATTTTGTCTGACAGTAAGAGGTTCAAGTCAATTAGCGAGTTTCAAGTCTTGGAGCTTTGGAAGTATCTCATAGGAATCAAAAGTAAATGATTCCTCCCAGATACAAGTCATCTCTTGGGTAGTATCTTGTCTTCCAATTACTTGTTTATGCAGTCAAACGGCCACGTGTTCCTCTGAGAGTGCAAGTTAGAGGGAAATTCAACATCTAAACGAGCATTCGTGTGTAAAAGATTTTACTGTATCTAGAGGCTAAAGATAGTTTAAGCATTTACCCTATTTCTATGTTATTTACCTGTATTCTTATTCTTTTTTTTTCAGCCTTTTCACTCAGAGCTCTCAGCAAAACTTTATTTTCCCCAGCCCATGTCTACAAGTATGTCTAGAATTCTTTTGTGTCCATCAGTTACCTTATTTATGAAAATCAGATAGTTTACAGTTTGAACTTCTCTAATGGTTAAACTGGAAGAGAGATGATTTTACACTGCAAAAGATTCTTCCCTTTACAAAAGGGACCAACCAAGGATCTCTCATCTCTTTGTGTAAATATTACTAAGCGCATCTGCAAGACGGAGAGAGTTCTGTGGAGAGGTGGTGGTGATGATAATACAATCACTGAAGGTACTTAATGCCACTCACCTGTACCCTGAAAAATGGTGGAGATGGCAAAGATTATGTTAGGTCTGTTTTATCACAGTTGAAAAATGTATCATTGAGCATCTCCTGTGGGCCTGCCCTGGGCTAGATGCTGTGGCCTTGGCCCTGGTGAGACAGACTCGTCACTGCCCACAGGTCCCGGTCTAGTGGGACAGTCCAGTCTACAGACCAAGTAATGCTTCACATGTGGCATGGTGCTGTGAAAGTTACGTAAGGTGTGTCGCTGTAACTGGAAATCTGGCATTAGGAAATTAATTTACATAGAGGGGCTCAGAGAAAGGCTAACATCACGAGGTGACATTAACAATGAGATGGGTTAGGCCATTAAGTAGGTGGGGAAGGGCTTCGGCATCGAGGGATCAGCCTGGTGAAAGCCTGTGAAGGCAGAAATTACTCAGTGTGTCTGAGCAACTCCAGGAAGGCCTGTGCGGCTGAAGAAATTTGGGGGAGTAAAGCGTGGGATGACAAGAGTTGGAGAGCAGTCAGCATCCACGTCATTCAGGTAAAGAAGGATCTGGATTTTACCTCAAGTAAAAGGAAAGCCACTGAGAAGTGTTTAGCAAGGAGCTGATCTTATTTATATTTTAAAAAGACCACTCTGACTGCAGCATAGAGGATAGGTTGAAGGGGAAAGAGTAGAAGCAGAGAGAATACGTAAGGAACTATTTGAGCACTTTCCCCTACTGCATCTAAAAACATAATTTAACTAAAAAACGCAACGGAAATGACATTTTTCAGGGGTATCTTTTAGGTGGAACAAATGAGAAATACATCTATCAGTATTGGATTGCTTAGTTTTATGAATCTTATTTTTTTTCTTTGACTTCTTTCTATGCCAGTACACTTAAATGTACTTTTCTTTGTATTCTTTCTGAATATATAGTGAATGATTTTTGATCAGCGAGATAATTTATGATAAAGTTATTTGTAACCTGTCTAACATTACTCATATCAAATGTATTACTATTGCTCTTATTAAACATCAAATGATAAAAATACTCTAAACAACATTTTGCTGGCTGAAAAGATGGTCCTAAATTATTGATTGTTGTCTTAGCATCAGAGGCAGATATTGTCTTTCCCTCCATCTTATTTGGACCACCCAATTCTTCCTCGGCTAATGGACCCTGGAGTCCAAAGAGGAGGTTCCTGGAGAAGAAGCGCATCTCTGGAGTGGGCTGCATACTTCAAGAGGTGTCTGTTTCAACACTAAAAAATTAAAACACTTGAATCACCAAAAACCAAGGACTGGCAGAAAACACGCACAGAACGAGAGCAGAGGTCCCATTATCAACAGTGACAGTAAAGTCACATGGATAAAATGTACCAAGCCATGCTTGGCCAGTGATGATCTCAGCCTTCACTTCATGAAGAAACCCTCTAAAGTCTAAGAAAATATTCCGTAACTGTGCCTACTGCGTAACTCAAACCCCTCACGGGCTGATCAAAATAGAAAACAGGGCTTTGTGTCCCTACTCTTAGGGCGGTGACTTGAGAGGTAGCTAAGCACTGTCATCCTACCTACAAAGCCCCCACACTCTTGTGCATGTCACTCTCCATCTACTTACAACCAGCAGCTCTCAGAAAATAGCTGAGAAGAAAGGGTGTGGATGAAGGAAGGTGGATACTGGTTTAAGGATATTAACTGTTGATTACTTTCCATTATAGGTTATTACAAGATATTTAATATAGTTCCCTGAACTATACAGTAAATCATTGTTGCTTATCTATTTGATGCATAGTGGTGTGTATCTGTCAGTCCCAAACTCCTAATTTATTCCTCCACCCAGTTCTCCCCAGTAACCATAAGTTTGTTTTCTACGTCTGTGAGTCTGTTTCTGTTTTGTATATATTCATTTGTATTATTTTCAGATTCCACATATACGTGATATCATAAAACCTTTGTCTTTGACTGGTTTTGCTTTTGATATTGTTTCAGAGAAGAGCGTCTAAACCAGAATATTTGCAGCACTATCACTCTTAGCTGCCTTTTGACTCCCAGTGAGAATTGGTGATAATCCAAGATCTACAGGCTCAAAATAGGCTAATTTAGTTATTGATGCTTATCTGACACCTGTGTTTTACTTTGAAGACCATGACTAACATGAGGGAAAGCAAGGGAGAATCGCCAGGTAGAGCAGATAAACTTGAGTGTTTCAAAAACAATCTCTGATTCTTCTAGCTGTTTTGGTAATGATTTTAAACCACTTTTGTTTATGCTGCTGTCAGGTCCCCCAGCCTGGAGCAGGAAGCTCCACCCAGACCTACTGGATCAGAAGTCTTGTTTCAACAGGCCCTCCAGGTGATTCTGATGGATGCTAACAAAACCACTGCCTTAGAGACTGGCTGAGTGAGAGCCCTGGAATGCTGGTATTCCACTGCTGACTGTCACAACGGTGGTTGATTCTTACTTTAAAGTATCTTCTGATTGAATGGCTTTCTATTAGCTAAAATATTGGAAATATTTGGAAACTATTCTTCCAAATCTGACTGGTTTAGACGTCAAAAGAACTTCACAGAACAGATTAAATCATTACATTGTTCTTTAAACAAAGCATGCAGAATGTCAACATAAGAAACATACAAAATCCAAGTGTCCTGGTTGAGATTAAAGAGTGATGGTGGTGGACCTTGAACCTTACTTGTTGACTTCCCCAAACCCTAAATC